ACTACCACTACCACTACCACTACCACTACCACTACCACTACCACTACACTACTACTACTACTACTACTACTACTACTACTACTACTACTACTACTACTACTAGTACTTTGACGACGACGACTACTACTACTTACAACCACCACCACCACCACAACAACAATGACATCAACAACAACCACAACCACCACCACCACCACCACCACCACCACCACGACCACCGCCACCACCACCGCCACCAAAACCAACAACAACCACCACAACACCACTAACACCGACAGCAACCAAACTGCCACTGAACCCTGTGCTGGCCCGCTGTTTGGCGCAAGCAAGTGTCAAAAACTGCGGCAATGTCCCGATTTCGACGCTTCCACGGCACCCCTCTCGTGGGTCAAGTGGATCTGCGGGGCCATTGTGATTTTTTGTTTCGGCGGCAGCCCTCTCGGGCCACGCATCACAAACTGCGGGGGATATGATGGTTTCAATCTGGTTCGGCAGCAACCCTCTCGCCAAAAAAAAGGACAACAGGGAATATTGGTCAGCGGCAACCCCGCAGCATGTAACGCGCGCCAAGCGCCCAAAAATTGTTCGGCGGCAACCCTCTTGAACGAAATGAAGACCAAGCGTCAAAGGCTGCGGGGAATATTGCAATTTCAAGTCGTCGTCGGCAACCCTCTCGCACGAAATGAGGCAAGTGTCAAAAACTGCGGGAGCGTTACAATATAGAGGTTTCCGCGGCAACCCTCTCGCTCGCGAAATGACGGTGAAGTGTAGAAACCACGGTAGGCCCAGAGATTGAAACCCAACAGCGTTCTGCTGTTCGGAACAAACAGCAAAGTCTAAACAGGAAGCGCTGCCACGAAAATCATGTTTTAACGATATCTCCGATACGTTCGTTTGTCTGCCTGCCCCCGACCGCAGCACTGAAGGATTGAGTTCTGGTTTTCAAACCCTGTACGCGATTGGCACCACCCCCAGCCCAGAAAACACCCAAAGGTTTAGACAGCGCCCAGCTTCCACGATGGAATTCCGGTTTTGGAGCACGTGGATGAATTCCGGTTCTCAAGCCCTTTGGACAAACTGCGCACCACTCCCACCACCCACAATTACAGGATGAATTCTGGCTTTCAAGCCATGTACCCTACCTTTCGGATGAGGTCCAGTTTTGGAGCACCGTGTCCCATCCCCAGAGATTGAAATCCAATGGAACTTCACAACCTGGAGCGTTTGTGAAGAAAAAGAGACCGTTTTTTTGAGGAAATTGCACGAGCTTTCAGCTGTGGTGAAGGAAGAGATCATTCAGAGATGCCAACATGACATACATTGCGGGTAGCTCCTGCTGTTCAGTTGAGACTCGTAACGCGTTCTTTATCATCAGGCTTCCGGCGTTACCGTGTCTTTTCTCGGACAAGCAGCTACAATGGACTTCGAGACCTTTGCCCAAAAATCTTCGCAAGTCGTTCTAGTTTCCCATGGCACCTCGGAGAACCGTACGTCCAGCCCAGTCATTGTCAAGTTGAAGCTCCTCATCTGCAAGCCGCACTCTCTGAAGAACTGTGTCCAGCTGGTTGTTCCTCAGAGCTTATGCAGCAGTGCATTCCACTTATTGGTGGCTCCCCAAGTCTCTACCGGCCGTGGCCGGGCATCATAGCTCAAAAACTCTCTGATAATCTCTGACAAACAAAATTACGCCAGCATAGGCTCCAGATAGCAAAAGAATTGTCTGTGTGCAGCACCATCACCCACGTTCTGAAGCGCACATGGCCACACCTGGCAGCGGCACCCTGCGGTAGCATCGCATCTAGGCATCATGCGCATCTAGCAGCGGCTCCCTGCAGCAGCACCAACACTAAGGCTCCAAAGCGCACACGGCCATACACATGTCTCCACATGTGCACACGGGCATGGACAGCAGCAGCACCCTGCAGCAGCGCCAGCACCCAAGTTCCGAAGTGCACACGGCTACACATCTGGCAGCGGCGAGCTGCGGTGCACCAGACCCAGGCTCCAAAGCGCGCGCAGGCACATCTTCCTATATGTATACTTGAAGTAAGAACCCCAATAATTAGCTCTCGCTCTCTGGGGCATAATCACTTCCAGCAAGTTGTCGAAAAATTATCTTGAAATTCAAGAATTGTAGCAGCTCATCCACAAAGCATCCCAAAGCCCTTCTACGAAGGCCCAGGTTCTCCAGTGAGGCCAAGCCGTTAATCAAGCTCATCAAGGCACTCACGAAAGTGAAGCAGCCTGTGCACAAAAAAGGAATTGGATTGCTTAAACAATGTTGAAAGAGAATACAAAAGCAACACCAACAACATGGCCAGCATTCGTATCGGGAATGTATGCCACTCGCTTGGCACTCTTTCTCAACACCAAGCATACAAAAGCCTGGCGCTGCGTATCTAGGGGTTTGCAACGCAAAGGTTGAAACCAAACGTTGACGCTAAAGTTTCCCAGCCCTCTTTTGAACCAGAGATCATTCAACATTCCTCATCATGTCCTAGGTTTCACACTTTCTTGCCCTGCAAACAGAAGGTGCAAATACTGACTTGATGATGTGATCTGCATAGTTTGGTAGACCATGCTTGATGTTTCTTGTTAGAAAGACCGTGTTGGCTGTACATTGGGAAAGCCAGCAGCTCCAAGCTCCATTTGCTGTCATTCTGATGCAATTTGTTACCACCTACCAGAGTTCTTGCGCCACGGGCTTGTAAGAAGTGGTTTGCTGAGGGCTGAGGGCATCATTCATGTCCCAACCATGCCAAAGTGCGGGCTCGAGGTTACATACAGAGTTCGGACGAGTTGGGTCTTAGCTTGAAACAACTGGAAGCAACAAGAATAGTGTCAAAAATTGGTCTATACACGTGCATATGTATCTGTATTATAATGTACTATATATATATATATATTGAAGCAGTCCGTGCTATGGCGGCGCGGACGAGCAGGCTTTCTCACCGAAGCGAACACGCGTA